TTTTGGACTAGATGGTGAGGGGACTCTGGCCACCTCAACCCCAAATAAGGACCCTATCACCCCTGGGGCGTCGTGATTGTAGGGATTGGGGTTAGCGAGCTCCTCTCATTAGTGGATGTGAGGTCTGAGGCCAGAGATTATTCAAAGGTGTACCTCTCATTCACTCCCGTATTGCGAATCGCTGTGTTCACGTAAGGCTGAGGACTTTGTGCTTAGTTGTTTAAGGGCAGTTCCTGTTGAACCTCATCTGAATTTTCGAGGTGCTTCTGTGGCACCTGTTCAAAGTCTTCCTGGGAGGCACAAAAGCATATGTCTGATTCGTGGGTCTACAGCTTGAAATTAGCATCCTCTGGAACACCTACGAATTGGGGCTCAAAGTACCACCCATGGAATAAGCAGCTATTCTAGTTTAAAGAGCAACCCAGGAGCGTAGGCGTCTTTGACTCAGGGCGTGAGCCTCTACGCAAAGCTTGAAAACCGGCACCTACTGAATCTACTGTTGCAGAGCATGGTTTTCTCACGACTGAATCGCGGCTTCCACAAAGTCTACACCTGCACTGTAAACCGCAGACTGCAAGTAATGATCATGACTGATGCTAGCTACAGCTACAGGACAGTTCTGAGGAAGAACGCCTCAACCCTGAAACTGAAACCTTTGATCCATAGAAGATTTCCTGCCTGAAGTCTCGGCTGCAGTTGGAACCCTCAGGGCCGGCAAGGCCCCAACTAGCTGTCGGGAAGACGGCCTCTTGTCAGAATGGCGTCTTACTAGTAGCGCATGATACTGCAGATGGTGGTATGTAACCTCGTAAGTACAGACGTGATAGGTAGTCATTTTAATAACACCTCAGCAGCATGAGCAAAGATGTTTGATAGGCTGAAGAAGAAATAATCCAACAGGACTGAGTCCATGAATTTGGCGATGAACGCCTTGTTTTTTGAGCAGCCTACTCATCCGAGCATCAAGCTCTGAAGCACTGTTTCTGCTGCTACTTCATGTTGCAAAGTTTCATGACCCAGGACAGTGATGCCACTAACAAGCAATAGGATTTTGTTGCTTCAGCTGTCTGGCTAGCAACGTCTGGTAGCCCTCAAGTCTGAACTGCGGGGAGGGCGCATGAGCCTCATTTGGATAAGGACAGCGCTACTACAACAGGTTCAGTACTGATCTGGGAAGAGTTGATTGCAAGCGCATCTTTTTGTTCCACCGTCCTAGCCAATGTGATTGTGGACTCTACGATGCAGGAAGCGGAGGAATAGGGGCTCAAGGGAGGTGGCATGCACTCTTTTGTGTACTGTTCGGGGGTACGGGATGGTGGCTGAGAGGCACGACGACACGGGCCATTGCTCTGCCGGAAACCAATAACACGAGCTTCAACTCCGGCATACAAGCATGTATCCATTCCTCAGCATGCGGTCTCAAGGGGCCGAGTTCATCGCGAAAATCCATGACATGGATGATGTTGCGCTAGTATGCGGCATTCTAAGTCGACTTCTCATCTTCTCTTCGGAGCCAGAAGGCATAGTTCATGTTCGACTGCGCTTTGCCGGCTGTTGGACCGACAAATGTCTACCTCCATTGACCCCCCAGCTTAATTAAGCTGGAGGTTGCTCAGACATCCCCTCATCTTGTAGGTTCTGTCTGCTGTCTAGACTTGAGGAGCAGTTGCATGGCAAGTCAACTCTCGCGAAGCGCTAACATGATCCTAGTAACTCTCAGATAACTCCTTCAAGCCCCAATATATGAAGCTCGCTAGTGGTGGAATCCACTCCAAAATAACACTCAAACCTGTGGAGTGATAGGCAGATTTGCTTAGTTCTGCCGTTTCCCAAACGGCTATTACTTAAGTGCCAGGTCTTTGCACAATCAGTCCAAACTCCTTCAGTGTGCCGTCTACCTAGGCTTTGTTTGAATTGCATGGACATCTAATGGGTTTGCAGTGCAAAAATGCTAGGAGTTGGGGCTTGCGGCTGTGGGGCCTGAAGGTATCTAAGATTTGGATTCTGGGCGCGGCGCCTTGGGGTTTCAGGCTTGGGGCTCTCAGGGTTGAAAGTCTTGCGATGCAACCGATTGAGGAGTTCAGGGCTCAGAGCTAAAGGGGGCTTAAGTGGGCGTCCAAAGCATCCAGCTTGTGCTCACCCCGCGCAAGCACGCGCATGCACAAGCATTGGAAACAGGGTGGCTTGTAAGGGCTCAGAGCTTGTAATTCTCGTCCTACATACGGCAGTAATGCCTTTACAAACCAAAGACTAGAAGATGTCATGATTCTGAGATTTTGCCTGCTGAGTTCTGGGTTTGGGTCAAGTGGTTTTTTTGCTCTTCCACCAGAAAGAAGGCAATGCCAACAAATGCGTCGCACGCAGCCGCATATCCGCATGACAATTAGCCTCAACAGAAGATGGCTACTTGCTGGATTGGGAGTGGCGTGAAGTAATAGCAATCTGTATGTTAGGTTTGGGATTGTTATGTCCTTGTAATCTGGGGTCTCAAGGTTATAACATGATTCTGAAGCACCTGCAGGTATCCCACTACTTGTCTCCTTCATTTCTGTGCCTTCCCAAATGGACTCAAGACAATTTATGGCTTCAGCGACTCTTTCAGGGAGTGGCTACATGATTAGACAAGTGCTCCTGTAAGAGCTGAGATACCTCAGCTTGAGCATTTCCAAAGCGCTTGAGTCAAGGGCAGCCTGGGTTTTCTTGGAAGGCCAGGGGACTAGTCAAACCAAACATCTTGCGCTCCAATGCCACCACGGAAAGTGCATCATCTGAGTCCAAAACAATTGCGCAAAACCCAGGTCTCACAACTCCGGATCTGCTTCTACATGGGCTCTCATGGTTTGTCGGTAGGCATTCTCCAACTCAGGATCTGTATTTTCAGGGGGAGCTTCGTTTCCCTCAGCACAACGCGTTGGAACAGCAGTACTGGCATGCTGCGTGCTTAAGCTTTTGCAGGCACTTGTAATAGTGGGCAGGGCTTCTCTGGAATCCTAATGTATCCACGCCGTGAACTTCATCCGCTCCCCATGACACATTCACATGCAGTAAGGCTTTGATTTCGTCAATCAGCAGATCTAAAACTGCCGTCCACTTGCAGATCAGGGATATTAGCTCTACATGTTTTCTTAAGGTTGGCCCAGGGCCAAATGAGACATGGGCCTTGCACCAGGTTGACAGCATTGCAAAACATGCCAAAACCATGCGGAGCCCTCTTCGACCACAGGTACGTCCAGGGCGACGGGTCAATTTGGGCCAATTATAATCTGGGCAAAATTGTGTCAGGGTCCTGAGATTTTGCTCAGTTCTTTGTGGGTGACACATACTAACAGTCCTAAATAATTAAGGACAGCACAAACTTGACCTGTTTCGTGCAGCTATCAGGAGCCTCAAAGTTGTGCAAGAATTCCTCAAGCCACTGCAACATTAGAGCCTCATGGACAGCTGTGCGCATCTCCAGCATGTGGGTGGAATGTTGTCGAGGATTTCTTGGAAGACGCCTAGTTGCACAGTACCTCAAGAGCTAAGTTATCGAACAGATCCCAGCCTTTTCGGCTAAATCAAAAACATGTGCACTGCTGATGCGATTGGCAAAACTACAGCAAGAACCACAGGATTCGCTCAACTGCCGAGAAGCCTCAAGCCTGGATATGTAAGACTCTTCATTAGTCAGGGTCACAACTAACTGCGGAAGTACTGGAGTCAAGCATGCAATCAATGTTAGAGGCGACAGAGTTGGTGTAGTGAAGCAACTTAGAATGAAGGTAGTACACCAAGTCCACAGACAACCTTGCTCCTTTGCCCAGATTCAATCGTGCATGACTCCCGCTGCAGATGCTGCTCTGCAAGGCAAGAGGTAGCCTAAACGATACGTAAAGATTTTGGGGTCGGCAGCCTCTTCCAGAGGTTCTGGTGTTGGCGCCTTGGCCCCACGAAGCTCATTGTAATCTTCTCAGCACGCCCCCAATCAGGGCAAAACGCATTGAAGCGCGCTTCAGCAATATCATGGACACTGAGAGATGTGAAGCTCTTCCTGTTTGCTTGGGGATGCTGTGTGTGCGAGCTTTGGCTGTATGCTATGCTAGAGCATCAGACCAGTTTTTCAGTGTGCCAGACCAGAAATTCAGGGAAATAGGGATGACGAGATTGCTAAGTTGCATGCTGCAACCCACAACCCTCCTCTCTCATGGCATCCGCAGCAATTTGAATGTTGAAAGGGGCTTGACTCTAGCAATGGGGACGGTTCTTACATGTGAAGAAACTGGAGCGTTCAGAACAGGAGTGCAGGCATCAAAATATGTCCCTGATCTTGCGTGAAGGCCGCGTAGCATTATCCAGCATGGCGGCTCTGCGTCAAGGGGGTTCCGGGAGGGACACTCAGCCGGACACTCATTATGCGACAAGTATATTTCCTAATTAGTGCATTTGAAGCTGAGTTACCGAGCCTCCCAAGACCCCCAAGCCCAAGCTGCCTCCCTTTCAGCATCTTCGCTGGGAAAAGAGCGCTGACTCCGCAAACCTCCTCCAGGCGCAGCTTCCACTTTGTAGATGGGTGACTTGTGCAAACATTAAAAGAGTCTTACGCGGAATGCACTGCGAGCCTTCATAGGCCTTTTCATAGAATGCTTCTGCAGCCTTTCGCCCTGGACAACCCCATGCTGCTAGCCCTATTAGCTCACACCTCCAAGCTTACCTCGCAAAACTTCTGAAGGAATCTGGGGCCACAACATGAGTAGTTATTTAGGCTCCTATTTGAGCAGCCTAAGCTCCGCACGCTGACTCTTTCCGAAGCCCTGGCGCTCTTGCGCTGCTGTGCTCAGGGCGTGCTGGGGCCCTCCCGGCCACCCGGCAGCCACTGAGGCTTTCAGTTCACACTTCAGGCAAAGTGGGGAGAAGCTTCAGGGAGTTTTCGTATCTGATGTTCAGGATTTGATCATCTTTCGAGGAAACTGAGAATTTTTCCAAGCTCAGGGCTTTGGCCCTTAGGACCCAAGTCCCCAAACTCAACGAAACATCCACCGGACACAATTGAGCCCGCGAAAGCGAACGTTCTTCGGCTTCCTGGCAGCAAGCAATGAGAACTGATGCATCGCAATGCAAGTGCAATGGTTACCGCCTATCGTACTGCAGGCGGACATAAGGCTTGTGACAGCTACTAGTAACCGACTGAAGTGACAGCCAGTAGCGAGGTAGCCGGCAACAATGTTAGAAAGGAGCAGCAGCAGTAAACGCAAAAAGGCTCATAATGAGATACGATCACTATAGCGCCACGCAAACTCTTTGAGCGCCGTGAACTTGACACACAGCTGAAAGGCCAGAGAAGATCTGAGGAAGTGCTCCCATCCCAAAATGTGTCGCATAAGGACTTTCTGAGTTCGCTAGGTTTGGGTCATGTCATGCAGAACTTACAATCTAGCAGCTTCTGAGTCTGAGAATACCCTGCTTTGGCGTGGTCATCCGGAGACATCTAGAATGTGAAGTCAGTCCCTCAACGCATCTTCGAGCAACAAGCAAGCTTTGAAGCCTGAACGCTTTTCCCGAACAAGGGCTGAGGATTGCGAAAGCTGTAAATCTTGCGTTCCAGACCCATCCCTAAGCCTGACTGCAATCTCCAAAGCAGCATGTAAATACCTGAAGCATGAGCCAACTGCACCTCAAATGCCCAAACAAATCCTGAAATTATTGGCCTTGCTGGGGAACGCTGCAGGTACGAAGCGATTGGAACCTCCGCAGTCCGCAGTCGTCCCCAAGCCCTTTGGATTGTTGGGGTTTGGGCCGCATGAGAGCCCACCAATCGATTCGGGGCAAGAGCTGCGTGCTACTGGCTTGGAAGGTGCGAGGGAGGGAAACTGTTGGCAATCCAAGAAGCCTCCACAGCCACCTCTGGGTCTTTGAAGTCCCAGCCCTCGATGTGCACCTGAGGCAGTACCGTGTTGCTCAAGGACATTGGCATCAAGAATGCAGAATTTGAGAAGAGCCTAGATGTTGACTGTTTGCACGCCAGGCCCTACAGTGACATCCACAGAACATGTCGAAACAAGTGCTTGCCAAAACTGTTTACCAGGTTGGCAGATGTCTTTTTCTCCGTTTTCTGAAAAAAGCCCAGATCCCACATGTCCTACATGGTCTTACATAAGCCCCAGAACCAGAACCACTTGAAGCCAGGCTGCATTGAATCCGCGGCTGGACCTGCGACCTGGCACCGCTACCAGCTCTAGGAATCCAACTTCCTTGTGACCCTAAACTTTGTGAAACAATCTCATGGTGAGTGTTGGTGTTTGAGTGTGCCGGTGTAGGCTGGCAAGCCACAGAAACGATACAGGACAGCTGAAAAGTGATAAAGCAGTGGTACCGAGCAAGCCGTCCGATGACAAGCCGCCGCCGCTGCTGCTGCTGTGACAATCATAGAGATAATGCTTGTGTGGGGTTATGCCCTGGTGTCGGTGCTGACACCATTGTTCGTGGCAACAAAGTTTGGTGAGGTGGTCAGAGCCCCTTGGCCCTTGGCTGCCAAGGCCTCTTGCTTTTCTGGCTCATCATAAGAACTATGGCCATTGTCAAGTCTCCGCTGGTACTGCTGGATGCCAGCAACGTAAAAGCAGCTACATTTGCTTTGTCACCAGAACTGTGGTGATGGTCTTGAATCCCCGAACCCTTCAACCTAGACCTCGTGCGTTCAACCACAAAACCCTGCAGCTTTAACTTTCAACTTCTAAACTCAGCATCGACCCCGAAGCCTCGCTATTCCCTTCACCCCGCCCCATATGCCTGGCCGCCGAGGGGGCGATTCCCAGGAGTTGGCATCTGCATGCACATAGGCTCAAGGAACGAAGGTTAGGATGGGCTGCAGATTTAATTTGGGATAATACTGCTTTAGGGGAATATAGGGGCTATATAAGGGTTATATGTAGGTGGTCAGGCTTTGAATGTAGGGCCATACCCGGGGGCGCCTCACAGGCAGGCGTTTCTAGCCAAAGGCGTGCAGTCTAGGGCTAAGGATCCATTGATTGGGATTGTTTGGTTAACAGCTATTGGGCCGTGGGGGTAGCAGGTCAGTTCAACGAATTTTCAGGCTTGCAGCAGAAAGCGGTCTACGTTGCAACCATGTTGAAAGCAGACTGGATATTAAGGGAACTCTTAACCTGTAGGGCCAGAGCCTGAAGCTTGAACATGCTTCCACAAACTTCCCATGCACCCTCTTAACACGTATGCTTCAAAACTGAAGAGGCTACCATATGATATGGTTGTATGTCTGCGCCTTCTGGAGCGAGGTTTGGAAGGTCAGGCAGTGCCGGGGCAGGGACCTCCCGCAAACAGCACCATTAAAGCAAACTTAGCCTCTTCCGTGAAAGAAGTATGCAAGGGTTTGTGACGGGTGACCGCTTTGTTGGGAGTCATGTGGAAATTGAAGGCACCTGCATGAGAAATGTCAACGTTGAATTGAAACGCAGCGGGAGTAAGACACGGAAGATTTTCGGTCTAGTGGTCTCTCTTTATTGCGGATGTTTAGCCTTGAGCTGCTGGCTTTGAATGAGTCGTACTTGATTCGCACAGCTACGCGCGCTTTAAACACATTACGATGTGGCAGCATTCACGGTTTTGCAACCGAAGATGCGATCAAACCTGCAGGATGATGGGTCTGCTGCGAGACCTTAGCAAGATTAGGTGATAAGACTGTCACCTCCTTTGTCGGACTGTGTGCAGAAGCCTAAAATTGGAGGTGCCGAATGACCATGTCTAACCTGCCTCGCAGCATGGAATCCTGACAGCTATCAAGAGCAACAGAATGATGTTGTTGCAAGTTGGCTCTTCCCATTCAGATAGCAATAAGGTCTTGCTGATTGAGGAGATGTTGAAACAAAAGCGTATGGTCTTGCTTCATATGGGGAAGCCCACCAACCATGCAGAAACCACAACTGGAAGGCAAGCCCAATTCTTCGCATGCCCTCGTGGCAGCCAGGGCAACCAGCATGCGCATGAACGACGTAGAATGCTAGCGTGACACGGAAAGCTGGCCTTTCGAGCCGCCAATGCCTCCTTAGCATTTGGACTCTCTGAATTTGGGTTCCATCGTACTGCAAGTATTTGCAAGTACCAACTTGGAGAGCACCTCCATCATACTGTATACTACACCTGAAAGTACTGTCACTCATCACGACTCTGACCGCTCACGCTCGTCGGCGTGATAGTGCTGTTAGCACAGCAAGACAAGGCGCGAAGTCTATCTTTTTGAAGAACTCGTGCCTCTTCACGTCAGCCCTGGGTGCACGCACAGGTTAACGAAAGGCTGCATGCACGCATTGAGACCTGCACTTGCATAGCCTCATGTAACTTGGCAACTTTCTCGATGAAACCAGACAAGACAAACGTCTTTTTGCTTTGCCTAAGAAGCACCGAGCAAAGTCAAAACACGAGTCTATGAAATAAGAAGAAGTATTGGCATCCGCGAGGTACAGTATGAAGCCAATCACCCTGAAAGTGTGAAGCAGCGACATCTCGCGCCAAAACTAATGTGGCGGTTTGGGGAACAAGGAGGCGCAAACTGGGACGGGACTGCCGCTGCTTAAGTCCCAGGTCCGCCTGAGCGTGTCATTTCTTGAAACCCTTGACATCCCTTGACCATTCAATTTCTGAGGTTGGGGGGGAGGGAAATTCCACCATTATTTTCATCATGCCTTCTGAGGGCCGGACGTGTCTCGGGCTCCCAGACGTCGTTCTGGCTCACGCTCCATAGTCGCTTTGATGAGAGACCTCAAAAAGTAGAAAAGATGATGGCAAGAAGAAACCATCAGATTTTCATGGAATCGGCTTAAAGAGGTTGCATGCAACTAAAGTCAGTCGGACTTATGTCAGGACAAGAACACCCGATACAGCGGTCTTTTGGGGGGTGCGCTGCGCCATGAGGATCCGAATATATACTCTTCCAGAAAACCCCCGATGCACAGCCATGTTGAAAATGCCTTGCTTGTTACACTGTGCTCTGGTAGTTTTTGCAGATTCATAAGGCAAGGGTGGAGCAATGCCTCTTTGCTACCTGCATGATTGTTCTCTCGAATTACATGCGAAAGAATGAGTTACATGACCGCGAACCCTACAAAGCAGCTTGGAAAGCGCCCTGAGTTTCCCGGCCACAGACTATCCAAACTTCAGATTCGCTGATACAAGTTGACTAATGCATGGGATGGGCTCTCAGATGGCGTCAGGCTGCTGCGCTTAGTTGCCAGATTGAAATAGTATGTAGAATCATGGGCCGCAATAAGCAGCGGGGCCTTTGCCATGATCATCAATTTAATCCACAAACTCTGAAACATTCTGAAACTCATTGACTGGCAATTGATTTGAGATGGTTACTGTCGTGCCGATTCTTTCCACGAACCCAATGAAGCTTATCATTGTTAATGTGCACCGCAATGTGTAATCTCGAGATGAAGATCCAAACCTAAGCAACATGCCAGAGATGAGAGCCCCGCGATGCATCTTCCGAAAGGCAGGACGGGAGCTCGAGGCGTTGATTCCTGAAAACAAATTAAGTAATACTCTCAGCAGTTGGGGCGTGCTTTTGGGATTAGGGTTTAGGGGTTCACAAGTGACCGACTGATTTGCCAACTCTCAGGAGAGAGAGACTCCAAGTTTTGGGCCTTCGAAGTCGAACTGGGGCTTAGTTGGCAACTCCTACTCCTACATACGGCACGACAGAAGCCTGAAAGAGAAAGCAAAAACACTGAATGGTCAGCGTCGCAGATTGTGGACTACGTCCCACTAGCACTGGACTCCCCGAAACAGAGTGTGCAAAGTTCGACGAGCTGCGCTATGTTCTGGCGGAGCATCTCTTTCCTGAATGGGAGCGAAGGTGTTGGGAACTCGAGCCGGGGCTTTGGAGATGAAACCCACCCATGTCAGTCCTCCGAAGCAGATCAAGCGAGGCGGGGAGATAGTGGCAATGTACGGTTGACCGGCTCTGCCGTACTGCAGGCTTCAAGTTCTGGGCACTTTAGAGGGTGCTCTGCAAGAGACTCTTAATATTTGGCAGAGGTGAGGACGTGAGCCGATCAGCGCCTGACCCTGACAGCGCCTGTTCTGTTTTGGGTGAGCCCAGCTTTCCCAAAGCTCAACCAGTCAAGGCACTCCCTGTGGAAGAATGGAGGCAATCCCATCAGCATCGTATACCTCAAAGGCTCTCGAACTGGTTTCTCTCTACTTGCTCCAAAAAAAGAAAAAATTGCAAGCATGTTGCGCATGATAAATGTCAGTGAATGTGAAGCTGCTGTTTGCCAAGGGCTTTCTGGCCCCCTTCCAATTGAAACGTGGGACTGCATCTGTTCTTTGTTGCCACTGATGTCATGATGTTTCTGCTTGGGCGCTCATTCGCTACCCAAGCGCTATCCAGGTCGATCAAAGTTCCCCTGAAACCATCTGCTACTCACCATGGCTCGAAGGAAAGTCCGAGATGCAGCAAAACGCCTAGGTTGTAGATGTCCACCTGAGCCAGTGAGATGGAGAACGAGCGAAACAAGTGATCCTTGGGGCGAAAGGAGTCAACTGACAGCCATTTCCAGGTTGATTTTAAATAATTAGCATCATTCCGAGGGCTTGCATCAGTGGTGTCATAGAGGACTGTGCCTCCTTTGCGATAATGCCGAGTTTGACAGGCAGTCACCGCAGTATAACAAGGAGCAAGGAGCCGTGGGCCCGTGCATCTTGCCCAGAAGGATCTCCGGGGCGATGTATGCGACCTTGAACAATGACTGGCAAGGTTTCCTGCTAATACTTTTGGAAGATGGTTCTTGCAACCTCGCGACTCTTGGAAATCATGCTCATGTATGTTACATTTGAAGTTGCCATGTTGTTTCTTGTAAAGCTTTGCTGACCACGGGTTTGGACTAAGGCATGACAAGTTGTCCCAGACTTCGACCCATGGCCCGACCTTGAGTCCTCAAAACGACCAAACAACGGTTTGGGCTGATGCTCGGGTTCCTTGCTTAAAATATGCACCCGTGAATTCTTGTGCAATTCGCGGGGGGCACTACTTGCAAAATGTGGCGGACTTCTTGAATTGCTCTGGAAAAGTTGGGCAGTGAATTTGGAGACTACAGGACCAACGCATCCGGTACGACGGATGGACCTGATCAGTGTTGCAGCCCTCTTGTTCAGGCAGCTCAGAGGCTTTTGCAAATGATGGTTAGCATGCGGGTCAGCATGATTTGTGCAAGCACATCGTGCAAGCAGATGCCACCCTGAAAGATCTTAGTAGACCTATTTGAGCTTTCGAATCTTCTGCCAGAACGTGAGAAACATACAACGACAGCATGATGTAAGCATCGCAAAAGCAACAGCAAGGGGCCACGAAGCGCAGGACGGACCCATGTCCTCAATCCTACAACAAGAAGGCCAACACATGCAGGAGGACTGACTAATCCGAAATCGTAGATCGAAAGCCAGAATCAAACTTAGGTGACGAAGAAATCCAAAGTGATTGGGACAGTCAAAGCACATTCGTTATTATCAAACAGACAGAAAAGTCTGCAAAATGAGATGCCCTTCACATCCCTTTACATAAACCTGAAATGGGGGCACGGCGGACCCGCAGTGGGTCTTCGTGCCCACGCCCCGCCGAACCTGAGCTTCAGTCGCATACCTTGCCCAGATTTGTCCATCCGTTGGATGGCATGCCCAGATAAACGCCTTTCTAATAAGGAGGCTGGATCACAAAAACAACCTGATGATGCTAGTTGCACCCTTGCAAGAGTACGAGGCTTCCCAAGCTGGAGACTGAACCTGAGGATCCGGAGTCTCTCCCAAGATAAGGACAAGAACGCTACGAAAGGGGTCGTGCGGCCCGTGAGACGACTACCGCCACACAACTGTAGCAGCCTGCAACTGGGGCTATTATAGTCGATCAGATCTCAAATACCGGCCAGGCCAATCCAGATATCCCAAGCCCACTCACAAGGTCCGGGTGGCGCCATCCTTGGAGAGGCCGAAATCCGTGAGCATTGCATGGCCCTCGACATCGAGGAGCACCTTAGGCAGAGGTTGGGAGGTAAGAGTCCCAAGAAAGCCAGTCGGAGTAGTAGACTTGCTGAGTCAGCGCTGTGGAGCTCTTTTTCAGGATGGGGTTGCCTGCGCTGGCGCTGATATCGCTCAAGCGGAAGCCAGGCGCTGAGTTTCAGGCGGGAGTCTTATGGTAAGTCCAGCGTCCGATGTCTAGGTGTTCGTTGAGGATTGAGAGGGAGTTTCGCTTTGTGCTAAGGAAGTGCGGACTTGCGCACCACCTGTTCAAGGCTGTCTTCCTTGCATCCAAATGCCACTTGCACAGGACGGGATCTTCATCTTGACAGGCTGTCGCTCGCAGGGAATCAAGAAGCCCTTCCCGCTGCACACTGCGCATGCAGGCCTTCACCTTAAAGCCGAGTTCCTCCACTTTCCCTTACCGTTGTCAAGGCTGTCATTATGCGTTGTCCCTACAGTCCCTACATTGGCCATTGCTGTATTATTGCTGTTGCGAAACCTGGGCTGCCGTTGGTGCGGCTACAACTGCAGTGTGTTTGATACTTCCTAGGAAAAACTCAATGTAAGCAAAATCTCCGACTATACTGTAATCAGAATCAACCGAATACGGCACCACCTGGTTGCGTATGCTTGGGCTTACGGAAATTAGGCTCTGTGGTGCCTGTCATGTCCAGGATAAGGCCGGGACATTGTCAGGCTTGAGATCGCGGTAGACAATGTTCCTGGCAACATTGACAAAAGGGGCACGTAAACTTCATCTTATGCAGAGCTCTTAGATTCCCAGGAAGACCAGAATGAGATCACAAATGTAAAAAGCTCAGTTCGCTCAGTAGATAACTGTGACTCAGAACGCACGTCTTGTGTCTGCAAAGGTCTTGGGATGCTTGATTGACTCTGCTAATCGAATCTGGTTTGTGTGTGTTTGGGAAAAGGCCAGTGGCCAGACCATACAGCGCTTCCTCAAAACAAATCCCGCGATTGCTCAGCCACTCAATGATTGCCTTAACCAGCGCCTTGTTCCATTACTTTTGCTGTGAGCAGCGTTTGCTGCCACATTGACTTCTGCTGGCAAATATTTTAACGAACTTTCAAGCCCGAGAGCAAAGCCTGTAATTCAGTCCCAAACCCTGAGTCGCCGCCTCTCATGCAGGTATATGAGGGCAAGCAGAAGCTCCTGCAGTGGCCATCCAGCCAGCTCTGCTTAAAGAGACAGCATGTTTTTGCAAACTCGCCCTGGGTGGATATTTCAAACAACTAGTAACTGGCCTGGGGCCGCACTTAAGGCTTCAGGATTGAGACTCAAAACGTTCCATGTGGTTAAAGTTGAAGGTATGGGGGCTCTGGTTGGCGACTTCGTCTACTTTTATGGTCTTGATGCTCTGCCCGCTTTCGTGGCCTTGTCATGTTGATGAGCAGTGGTCATCCCAAGTCTCTGGTAGCCCAAAGCCCACCACCTTTAGGTCCCTACAAATAAATCTTTCTCGCCCTAGGCGGCACCAAACCACTCGGCAAAAAACAGGAACCCATGGCTTCAGTTTTCAACCCTTACGGCACCCCCATCCGCATTCGTCATCCACCCATCTCTACGGCAAATATCCTCAACCGAACCTGGAGCCTTACAACACCCCAAAGCTAGCACCTTAAACCCACAACCGCACCACCTAATCCGAGCACTTCATAAATAAAAGGGACCATATTGAAGGAACGTTTTTTGAGTAGAATTAGGCTCCAAAGACTAGCTACAATTAGGTGGCTTTTCGTATGGGGACAAGGGGACTAGATTTAAAGAAAGTTTTTGTGAACCCAATCCTGATAATAGAGAGATTCAATACATTCCTATTCATTTTTAACTAATAGAGGTCCAAGAGCCACAATGACGCAGGAATTCCTATTGTTTTTAAATTGAGTTCCAGGAGCCCCAATCATTCTTTTAATCTGGCGCCCTCAATTCCTTATTCTGGCGGGGGTGGGGGGAGTCCCCCACAAATCAATGAAGTGCTCGGATTAAACCTTACATCCCATAAAAAACAACAACTCGCAAACCCTTCAAACCCAACACCCCTAGGCAAAAACTTCTTTATGCCTTGAATGCCTGCCCTTGTTTTCGTCCCTGGGCTCCGCTGTGAAGTGCCGTGCCCCGCGCTCGTCTAATGCCCGGAGGTGGCGGCCTTCTCGATTCAGAGCCAACGGCTTCAGATCGCAGGGATTTAAGGTGTTTAGGATGTTAATGCCCAAGGCCAAGGGGTTTCAGGAGGGGCTTGTGCGGGGTATATTCCATTTCTGGAGCATACATGGTGGCACCTCAGACGGGCTCAAAGAGACTACGAAGGGCGTGTTTATACGGAAAGTGGTGGCCTTGCGCAGCATAGGATTTGAAGCACCAGTATCTGTACCGTCTTGTTTGCCTTGAAGCTTGTTTTGCAAAGTGTCAGGCTTTGAGGATGTAGACTTGGAACCCATCCACTTCCCTCTGACCAACTAACCTTGCAGGCTGGACATTTCAGCAACTTCAGACGCTTACCCGCAAAGTCTTCGGACAAAAATGTTAGAATTTCTTCAGGCTGCTGTATGGCTCTGTGGTCATCTCTGACCTGGAAATAATCTCTGACCTGGAAACAGAAGCTTGGATAGAGGGCTCACGCTGATGTACGCTGGACGTCGCACACAGCCAAAGCAGGGAGGTCATGATTGCGAGGTTAGACCTTTCCTGGGAGCAGTTGGTCAACTCTGTGGCTAGCTGTGAATACAAGGCATAGGCCTACATCCTGAAGAGCAGACTAGATATTAAGACAAACAAACAAGCTTAACCATGAAGGGATGAATGGTAGCAGCGATTGGGATTGAAAGCAACAGCAGTGGCGACGTAATATAATTACCGGACATCTGGCTATGCCAAGGGTTCTGAAGAGCAACAAGGTCTTCTCAATCCAAAATCCCAAGCCCTGGCCTAGGTTCTTGAGCAGCTGCTGAAGCGTTCCGCCGGGGCAGTACGTCAGAACCATCACCTGGCTTTCATGAACCGTAAGAGCCGTGACAAAAACTGTTCCTGGTAGTGCTGCAGAAAGGGTTAGACTTCGTGACAACATGACTTCATGATGTCGCCTGTTCTTGCTGTTGCTCTGGTGAGGAATTATCTTCCTGCTGTCACCCCCTTGTTCCTTCCATTTACTGCAACTTAGATTGTCCTCATTGCCAGCTTTTGGGTTTTGCAATTCTAGATGGTGTTAAAGCCTCGACTGCTTTTTCATTGTCTGCAATCATTTTCGAGACACTCTAGGGTGCTTCATGCGGCGCTTGCTGCTGTGTCTGTTGCAGAGCTTCAAAATCAGGGCAATTTTCCTTTTCAGGATTGCTAGCTGGGCAACCCCCCAACCCACTGCCTTCAGAAAATGTCTGCTGGAGGTTCGCAGTGCAATGCTGAGTGGGGTCAAATCAGGGGGGCCTAGACAAGACAAGGCCTGCAGATTTCAA